GTCTCTCGTTTATTTCTCTCTGTTCATCATCTTTTTTTATATCAAATTCATTCTTCTTTTACTCATTGTTTGAATTTCCTTTATTGACAGCCCCATTCTTCTCAGAGAATTGATTTGGGATGCTCTGTTTCAGACACGTTTTATTACCTTATTCCCATACACGGTGCACAAAAACCTGATGTATTAAGCAATCAGAGAGCTGCACATTCTCTATAAGTCCCTTCTCGTTTTTTGCTGCCTTTTACCTCCTAATAAAGCATTGCCTTTTATTGTGCAGTTTTCGTTTTATTTTGTCATTTCTCTTCATAGCCATTGTCTTATTGACTTGTTTATTTAATCAGTTTAAATTACTTATAACTTTATTTTTTTAGTTCTTCATTTATTATCTGATGACTTTAATTGTTTATGTTAACTTCGTTATTATAATTTGGCATTTCAGATATTTCACTGTTTAGTTTACATGTCAAGTTCCAACTCCAGTTTTTCTCCCTCTGATTGTCTTAGAATTCTTCATTTGTTTAAGGTTTTTATTGTTGTCTTTGTTGCCCCAATGTTTTGGCAACAGTTTGTTTTTGCAATTTTTATTTTATTGGGCAGCTGATAATAAAATTATACGATACCTAATGTAGAAATCACACAAGTCAAGGTACAGTCTTAGCTCTCGTTTTCAACATGTAAAGGCATGTAGATCTCTGATCCACTAGTAAGTAGTGAAAGCTAAGGGGGTATTCTCTGGATGAACAGTAAACATGGCCAATTTAGCCTGGTAAATAAGGTATAACCGGTTACATAGCCATGTATCCAAAAATCTGCTAAATCTTGCAGATTTCAATACCTAAAGAGCTCAATTATGGTAAAACTGGTGCTTTAAAATTCCCAATGGACTTAGTAATGAAGTCTGAGGCAAAACACAGCTATATTCACTAAAGAGTGAGACAGGCTATGTATGAACTGATAGCAGCCTTATATTGGGGACTTCCAGCCATCCGTTGGGACGTTGTAGGATGAGTTCAGTCCCCATAGGCCAGGATGACACTCTTTGATTTACTGGAGACAGACCTGCTAGCAGTACACTTAGGGACAATTGAAAATGTATGGAACTTTTAAAAAAAAATATATATATATTTTGAATGCATTCTCTATATAGGATCAAATGTTGACAACCATAATCCCTTTATGGGTCACAAGCAAGAAAGAGGCGGAATGCTCACCAGGTAGGACTTATGTAGACTGTGCTCTGATTAGTTACAACGTTCTGTCAATCAGGTGTATGTGCCCAGTATTGGATCGTTTTTGTCTATCTTTTTCTTTGCTGCCAAATAAATAATATGTGCTTCCTGTCTAAAATTAAATGTCTCCTTTCTGTCACTATGTTAAGAAAACTTACAATTTTAGTACAAAATAGTCAAGCTGGAAAACTAGCTGAGAATTTTACCAACGTGACACTTTTAGCTGTAAATTGTCCACTATTTTCTTAATATCTGCCTCACCAAATATGCCCTTTTTTTCCCTTTCTTAAACTGTATTCTTATTTGCTGTATTTCGTTGCAGAATGAAATCCTGAACCTTTCATCTTTGACCCCAGAACCAGAAGCCAGTGTTTCTTGGCCAGTTGGTGTCAGCCCCCCTTTCAGTCCCACATCACGCTTTGACTTGCTAACTTGGGAGTATTTCACAGAAACACATTCTTTCTCCTGCCCCGATGGGAGCCCCAAGTGTCCATTACAGGGAGTATGGCTGAGGGAAGTACAGCAGGTCCTTGAGGAGGCTTTAGAGCAGCTAAATCTTCGTTATCAGCCTTGGCTACACTTCCGGCTGCAGCGATTACTTAATGGATACAGACGATTTGACCCTACACGTGGCATGGAATACACTCTTGACCTCTTATTGGAGGCTGTCACAGAGAATGGACATATAGGGGCACTGACCAAACGGTTCAGTCTTCTGCGACCTTTGAGCCACGTGGAAATACTTCCCATGCCATATGTGACTGAAGCCACACGTGTACAGTTAGTGCTACCCTTGATGGCTACAGATGCTGGACATGTTGCTGGATTTCTAGATGCTTTTGCTACCAACTTGCTTGACCCACAGGAGAATGTGGCTCTCACTGTGCTGCTGGTGTATGACGTGCACTTTACAGGACAGGATAAGGATGTCCTTGAAGAGATTAATGGTATGATATCAGAGTTGGAGAAGAGGTATTCATTCCTGCGGGTGGAAATCATGAGTGTCAACACTGAAATGCCTTCCCAGGTTCAACTCATGGATGTAGCTTCCAAGAAGCACCCTGTGGACACTCTCTTTTTCCTTGTTGGTGTTTGGAGTGATGTAACTAGTGATGCTCTCAATCGATGCCGAATGAATGCCATTAGTGCCTGGCAAGTTTTCTCTCCTGTGCACTTTCAGGAATACAGTCCAGATGTGTTACGTCAAAGCGTTCATGCTCAGTCTTCTGCAGACCTTCTAAGGGATGGACATTTTGACCGTCTTTCTTCCTCAGAGTTCTGCTTCTATAATTCAGACTTCATGATGGCACATGGGAAGATGGTTCTAGAGATGGGGGACCAAGAAGAAGAAGATGGAGAGGGAGGGGATATGGAAATATTGGATTTGTTCCTCCGACACTCAGAGCTACATGTTTTTCGAGCTCTAGAGCCAGCACTGGTCCAAAGATTCTCAGTACGACAGTGTGGTGCACATCTGTCTGGAGATGGATATCATCGCTGTGTAATCAGCAACCTGGAAGCTCTGGGTTCCCGAATACACCTTGCTATGGCTCTGTACGAACAGGACCAGACCAACAGTACCTAGAAGGTTACGAAAAATGTAGATATATTCTGTTACATATCCTGAAGGCTGTTCACTAATGCAAATAAATTAGGACTGACCATTCTCTGTAAAGTTATTGTCACTGCATGGCAGTGTAGGCTTGTGTGTTTTTTTTTCGCTGGAAAAAGAAACAGTGGTGTATGAATCACGTACCTAACATAATATCAGCCTACTGTCCTAGTACCTAATAGCCAGCCTCTTTCCTGATCTAACACAATGTCAGCCTCCCTTCCTATCCAATAAAATGTCATCCTCCCGTCCCAGCACCTTATATCCAGCACTATGTCAGTCTCCTACCACAGCACCTTATATCCAACACTATGTCAACATTCCCTTATGTCTAACACTATGTCAGCCTTCCCTTATATCCATCACTGTCAGCCTCCACATATTTCCAGCACTATATCAGCCTCCTACCCCAGCACCTTATATCCAACACTGTCAGCCTCACCTTATAGCCAGCACTATGTCAGCCTCCTACCCCAGCACCTTATATCCAACACTATATCAGCTTTCCCTTATGTCCAACACTATGTCAGCCTTCCCTTATATCCAACACTATGTCTGCCTCCCCTCCTTATATCCAGCACTATGTCAGCCTCCCCTTATATCAAGCACTATGTCAGCCTCCACTTATATCAAACACTGTCAGCCTCCCCTTATATCCAGCACTATGTCAGCCTTCCCTTATATCCAGCACTATGTCAGCCTTCCCTTATATCCAACACTATGTCAGCCTCCCCTCCTTATATCCAGCACTATGTCAGCCTTCCCTTATATCAAGCACTATGTCAGCCTCCCCTTATATCCAGCACTATGTCAGCCTCTCCTTATATCCAGCACTATGTCAGCCTTCCCTTATATCCAACACTATGTGAGCCTCCCCTTATATCCAGCACTATGTAAGTCTCCCCTTATATCCAGCACTGTCAGTTTCCCCTTAAATCCAGCACTATGTCAGCTTTCCCTTATATCCAGCAGCATGTCAGCCTTCCCTTATGTCCAACACTACGTCAGCTTTCCCTTATATCCAACACTATGTTAGCCCCCCCTTATATCAAGCACTATCTCAGCCTCCCCTTATATCCAGCACTATGTCAGCTTCCCCTTATATCAAGCACTATGTCAGCCTCCCCTTATATCAAGCACTATGTCAGCCTTCCCTTATATCCAGCACTATGTCAGCCTTCCCTTATGTCCAACACTGTCAGCTTCCCCTTATATCCAACACTACGTCAGCCTTCCCTTATATCCAGCACTATGTCAGCCTCCCCTTGTATCCAGCACTATGTCAGTCTCCCCTTATATCCAGCACTATGTCAGCCTCCCCTTATATCCAGCACTATGTCAGCCTCCCCTTATATCAAGCACTATGTCAGCCTTCCCTTATGTCCAACACTGTCAGCCTCCCCCTATATTAAGCACTATGTCAGCCTTCCCTTATATCCAACACTATGTCAGCCTTCCCTTATATCCAGCACTATGTCAGCCTCCCCTTATATCCAGCACTATGTCAGCCTCCCCTTATATCCAGCACTATGTCAGCCTCCCCTTATATCCAGCACTATGTCAGCCTCCCCTTATATCAAGCACTATGTCAGCCTTCCCTTATAGCCAGCACTATGTCAGCCTTCCCTTATATCCAGCACTATGTCAGCTTTCCCTTATGTCCAACACTGTCAGCTTCCCCTTATATTAATCACTATGTCAGCTTTCCCTTATATCCAACACTATGTCAGCCTCCCCTTATATCCAGCACCTTGTCAGCCTTCCCTTATATCCAGCACTATGTCAGCCTTCCCTTATATCCAGCACTAT